CTTTGCAGGGGGGGCGGGGGGCCGTGGGGCTGGGTGCCGGACACGCGCGCAAACAAGCTCACGTCCTCACGGTCGGAAACACTCAGACACCGACACTTGCCCCGTACACACCGCCCGCGGTTGCACCTCCACGCCGCCCCTTTCCCAGGGCTCCCCTTCCCCCACCGCTGCCATTTGCCTCCTGCCTGTGCCCAGAAGGGAGGGAGGAAGACAACAGCCAAAGCTGGCCAGCCTGGCCGGGCGGTGTGGCCCAGCAGGCGCCCTCTTTCCCAACCTGGTCCCGGAGCCCCAATAAGCGAGCCACACGGCCACTAGAGATGCGCCCGCGCGCGCCCAGCACAGGGAGCCCCGGCCAAGCTAGGCCAGAGACGTGCACACCGGGAGAGCGGAGAGGGGAACAGAGAACCGGGGAGACACACGGGGGGCGGGGGGTGGGGAACAGAGAGAGAGAGAGAGAGAGAGAGAGAGAGAGAGAGAGAGAGAAGGACCGAGAGAGACTGTAGGAAAAAAAGGGAGAGGAGCCAAGGAGAAAAAGAAATGGCAGGGGTGGGGAATGTCTTGTAGAGGTGCCAGCTCTCCCAAAACTCAGTCTCCAGCCACCTCTCTCCTGCTTGGTGTGGCGGCCTCACCAAGGAAAGTGGCTGAACAGCAAAAAGCACACACACACACACACACACACACACACACAAGTGGGCAGCCGTCTGAACTTCTACCTTTCAAATCCAAAGCCCGTGGTGAACCTGCGTCCTGGGGAAAACACAATCCCGATCCCTGCCCTCCGCGCGCCCTGGGGCCCAGCGTCTGCAGAGGCCGACCTCACTTGCTGAATAGGTGCGGCTTTGTTTGGGGGACCTGATCCGGACTCGCTTTGGTCTATTTTCAGGGTGGCTGGAGATGAGGGATGGAAGTTTCGGAGAGCAGTGTTTCTGGTAGGGCCTTCGACAAATGTATAATCCAGCGGCGGACCTCCTCGGTCACTTCGCCAGCTACCAGGCTAGGGGCTGCACTGTCCTCCAGCTCCGCACGGACACACACACGCCCCAGGATCTCCCAACAACCAATTTCGTTGGAGCGAACAGGGGAATCCCACCCGCCCCATATTTTCCTCCCAGCCAGCTCCGCTTTTTAAAGATCGAAATAACCCTCGCTCCTTCCCCACCACTGCCCTCTACGCAGGGTCCTCGGCTTGTTTTGCTTTGTTTTGTTTCCACCCGTGCAATTAGACTAAGGGGAAAAGGAGGAGGGAAACAAAATCTCCGAATCCGATTCTGTCGCAAACGAAAGAAAGAAAATAACTGCAAGTAAACTCTGTCTCGTTCGGAAGCCCGGGGAGTCATAAACCGTCCCCGGCCCGTGCAGACTTCGGGCAGATGTTGACGGTTCAGTGTGCTGGGCCCCAGAACCTCCGCGGCTGTCCTGCCTAGGGAAGGGTGCGGGAGGGGGGTGAGCCTCTCCCTCACGGCTCGGGGTTCAAAGACGCCGGAAATGCGAAACAAGCCCTCCACCCTGCCCCGAAGCACAGCCAGGCCTACTCGGGTCTCCTCCCCAGGCGCTGGCTTCTGAGGGTCCAGGCTCTTAACCCAGCGCCCCGCTGGCGCCCGGAACTCAGAGGAAGGAGAGCAAGGGAAAACCGAGACCGGGCTGAGCAGAAGGCTCCGGCGGATTACGACGACCCGCCCTGGCGCAAAGGGCTCCGGGGCCCAGTTTCCTGGGCCTGCCGCCCTCAGGACATTTTACAGGACCGGCTGCAGGGCAATCGGATCTCTCTTCCCCAGACCACGCACTGCCAGTCTTTTCTCTTGGGTCCCTGGCTGCGCTGCCTGGTTCATTCAACGTCCCAGCTCCCGCCCTCAGCCGCGCAAACCCCGAGCCTGTTTGGCGTGGGCTCCACCTTGCTTTCTCCATCACTGTACTTACTTTCTGCCCAGCAGGGTGAGGGTAAGGCCCAAACAAAAAGCCGCCTCTAAAAAATTTCTGCGCCAGGGACAGCAAGACACTAAAACATTCCCTGGTCCTGCTCCAGCCAGGGGCATGCGAGGCTAAGATCGCGCCTGCCAAATCCTAGGGTGCTCCGGCCTGGGAAGTTCAGGGGCAGCGTGCCCCGAGTGCTGTATATATACGTGCATACAGCGCACCGAGATTCATTCAGGCGGAGGGGAGCGATGGACGCCACGCACTTTCCCCCAACCGGACGGGGACGCACGCTCCGTGCGCCTGGCACTCACCGGCGTTGTAGGCCGCCAGATCCGCCCCGGGGCCTGGGCTCTTGCGCTTTCTCGGCCGCCCCTTCTGCACGGTGCCCACGCCGTTGTAGTAGGGAAGACCCAGCGGGTTGGCTCCGGCGGCACCCAGCCCCGCGCTCTTGGCCGCAGCGGCCGCAGCTGCCGCCGCCGCCACGTCAGCGTGGTTGAAATGCGCGGGGTACTCGCCCTGCAGCAGCGCCTCGAAGTGCAAGCGGCAGTAGACCAGGCTGTCCTTCATGCCGAAGTGGTCACCCGTGGTCAGCATCTTGTTACACGTGGTGCACGTGAAGCAGTTGAGGTGATAAACCAAGTCCCGAGCCCGCATCACCATCTCCGAGGCCGAGATGCCCAGGTGGCAGCGGGCGCAGCGCTGCACTGAGAACCGCCTGTAGGGACCATCAGGGGAGGGACTGTGGGGACACACGGTTGGGTACCCCCATATTCCTCCTCCAGGTGCCGCTGCTGCCAATGGGGAAAATCCCCTTCTCAAGATGGGCAGCCTGGGTCTTAACTTGGAGGATGAGGGAAGAGGGAATACATTTTGGCCTAGGTCTGATGCTACCCTGTAACACAGTGCCCCTTCATCACTTTCAAGCCTACAAAGGCTTCTACTTAACCCAGAGCCGGAGCAAGCCCTACGAAAGCCCTTGCCTGGGAGACGGGGGAGAAATTCCCCACTTACCCTTCCTCCAACTCTAACCCTGCCCTCCACCCCAGCGTCCCGCAATCGTACAGACCTTTGTAATTTGTTAAAAACGCAAAGACAAGGAGAGAAAGAGGAGAAATATATAAACAGACTCTAACCCTAAACCCAGAGAGGAGAAACAAGAAACCTGGTACCTGTTAATGATGATTTTGGTTCTTTAATCCTGGACTCCCATCTCCCGGAATGATCGGGAAATGCCCCCATCCAATTCCCCAGCTCTCTCCCCAACTTTGTTCCCCGCCAGCCCAGGCCACCTCGTTTGGGGGTGTGGTGCTAGTTTCTGTTCCCTCTGGTTGACCCAAGAAACTTCAAAGGAAGAGGGGTGCAAGGACCCCCCAAACCCAAGCCTAATTATGGTCTAAACTCAGGAGAGGGCAGCTTCTGCTTTTCTCTGGGTCCCTACACTTCACAGACATTTCCAAGAGTGTCCCCCAAATTACTGTGTATAAAGATTGTCCCCAAATTCTCCATGCTGGCTTGGAGAAGAGAACCCTCCCTTGTGACTGGAGGGAAAAGAGACAAGATTTCATCTGAGATGGGGAGTTCTGAGGGCAGTGGGTCCCGAGGTGGGGGGCTACCTGTAGTAGTCTTCCTTGCAGTAGATGCTTCCATCCTTGCTGAAACAGGTGAGCTCCGACTCCAGGTTGAGCTTGCACTCGCAGCACTTGAGGCAGCGCATGTGCCACTGTTTGTCCACCGCCAGCAGGTAGTAGCGGTCCGAGATCTTGCCCCCACAGCCCGCACACAGCGCAGCTCGGTCACTGCTGATGGATGGCATGGTCTGCGGAGGGAGGGAGGTGGGAGACCGCAGCCCCCGCGTCAGCCTGGGACCCAGCAGCCGCTGCCGCCAAGGGGAAACCAGCACCCAAAGTTCCCACCATAACGGGCTAACCCTAAACTCCAAGAAAAATGCCAAGGGTGTGCAGTGTGCTTCCTCCACCCCAAAATGCCCATATCCAGAAGGTTCAGAACCCAAGTCCGCCTACACAGCCCAGGCAGGCCACAGGCCCGGTTGCTGGCCTGGATAGATCTCCCCCACTTTACCCCTTTTCTGTACCTTCTGCCCTTTTCCCAGAAAGTCTCAGGCTACGTTTGGGGGCTGAGGCAGTGGTGGCTATCCCAGTCAAACCCTCCAAAACTGTGTCTTACAGAAGCCACTTGGCTGGGCCCCCAGGAAAAGGGGTAAGATGACCATTAAAAGTCACCCTACACACAGACTCCTCTCCAGAGACACAGAGTTCCTGGCGCCCAGCCCCAGTGATCTCTGGATCCTTAAGCCAAAGGTTTAGGTTAGGGCAGGCCCCCAGGTCGCGGGATCCTGAGAGATGATTGGGGGCAGGGGGCGTGCAGAGCCACCCTCAAAGTCTCTCAGTGCAGGACAGGCCCAATCCAAACTGTCAGCTAACCAAACTGACAGGCTGCGATGGTTTAACCCGGGGAAGAAGAGCTCGCTGGGAAGACAGAGGCACTGGCACTGCTGCTCCTGCTTTCTGTGCAGAGAAACTTCCCCTGTTCCCACCTCCTCTGCCTCTAAAGGTCACTTCTGGGCCCGACTTGGGCAACGGCTGCTCATCTGGCCCCCAGGGAGGACTGAGGCAAGGAACTGACTATTTGAGGCTGGGCTGGCATAGCCAGGTGTGGAGATTCGAATGGACTCAGCTTCTGCAGAGCCAGGCCTCGGAGCCTGAACTACGAGCCCTGGCCTGGCTGAGTCCAATGGATCAGAAAGCCCAGGTCAAGATCAACAGAAAGCGGTGGCCCAGAAGACTTCACTCCCCGAAATTGCGCTGGGGAGGAAGCCTGATGGCCAAGAAGCGGGATCGGCCCCGAGCCGGCTGGAGCCCTTCTCGGTGGCGCCAACAGGCAGGGCCAAGTGGTGGAGGAGAGCTCGGGGCTGGTGACCAGAGGGCCCCGCCAAGTGAGAAGAGAGCCATCTCGGGCCGCGGGTAGGACTTCGCTCTTACTTCGGGAGAACTGCTCTCTTCCACCCTCTGGGTCTAAAATTTCGGTCTCAACCTTTTCCCCTCGCCTCCCCAGCAGCCTGGTTTCCCCCGAGCGGGGAGCTACAGACTTTGTATCCTGTCCGCGGATCCCCAGCGCCCAGTCCCGTGCGGCACGAAGGAAGCTCCCCAAAGTGCCCCCGAACTTAGGGGAGCAGAGGCGCAGACTCACAAGGCCCCGTCCCAGCTTTCGGCCCGATCCGCGGCCGTGCGCCTACCGTCTCCGTGTCGCCGCGGTCGATGGCGGAGCTGATGGCGGGAGCCTCGCTCTTGGCCCTGCGGTCCATCTC